AACAGGAAAAGTAACTTTCGTTATCATGGAATTATAACAAAACCTGCCAATTCAATATAAATGGAAAAAAAATATTATATGGAATTGAACGAAAATGAAAATTTGCTTGATAATTCAACTACGCTTGTTGGAGAACAATAAAAACACTACACTCAACAAGCCACCAATAAAACTCAACTGCCTAACATATAATCAAAGTTTTTTTTAAATTTGTTTTTTAAAAAAAGCGCTTGACAAACTTGCCCCGCATGCCGAAGTTGCCCCGATCTCCCCTATATATTTTGAGATATTCCCATTATTTTATGAATTTTAAAAATATTATTTACATTTAAATGTTTAAAATATTGAATATTATAAAGCATTTATTGAAATTAATAAATAAAAAAATTCACATTTTAAGTTATTTTCTTCATTTTTTTACAAGTAAAAAGCTTTTTAAAACTTTTCTTAAAAATAATACATAAAGAATGGGCCAAATTTGCACATAAGCATCAATTATGGCCTCGAGTTAGGGCCTATGATTCTATTACTTATAATCTCACATTTTTACATGTACTGTATCATTATTTGGTGATGCGGAAGGGCCTCTTAATATATTTTTAGCTTAGGTCCACAAACAAGGGAGCAGCAAGAAGGGTGCTCGAACCCCCCCTAGCTTAAATAGTAATGTAGTAAAGAGAAGAAAGAAAGAAGAATATAAATGAGAATTTTATTTTATTCATAAATTCACTAAGTAATCTTTATCGGCTTGTAAAGTTTCGTTAATTTTGCGTAATTAATACGGCAGTAATTAATTTTAATCACTTTATTCAATTAATCCATTGTGCATCGATGCAACACTACCTAAAATAAATCCTTTTGGAGCTACTTGCCACAAGTCTAAGTCCAGCCCTGTGTAAAGACATTTTATTTTTTTTTAATAAAAAATGTTTTAAATTATTAAAGAAATAATGTAAAAAGAATAAAAAATTGATCGTATAAGTGTAAAGAAAAAAAAGACAAAAGGATTCATTAATTCTAAACTTGATTCGATCTACAATGAGTAAGGATCAAATGGAAGGGAAATGATTTTTTTTGAAGCAATATATGACGAAGTATAGAACAAAAATTTTCGGTTGATATGATATATGACGTGAATTTTCACTTTGGAAACGACAGGAAGAGAATAAGTAAAGAAAAATGATGTTACATGACGTCATTTAGTTGACAAGTTTGTTGTTTCTCTTCTATACTGTTATGATTATATCGCCTGATTTTACACAAAATACGGCTTTAAAATATCAAAATAACAACGATGTAATCAAATAAGTAGTTTCTTTAAACTATTCATTTACTTATATCTTTGTGTTCCAGACAACCAGTGATGTCAGTTGAATTGCTTATTATATTTAACACAGCTGGAAAGTGTTTTTGATTCACTCAAAAATTTAAAAATAAAATAAAATAAACCGAATGAATATTTTATAAAGATAAATCGTGGCTTGAGTTGAGTGTAATAAATAAAAAAATTAATATCAAAGAAAGAAGAAAATAACAATTTTTAAATATATTTTAGAGTCTGTTTCAACTGTCTGTACACGATCTCGAATACTCTGTAAATAAATTGAACCTTTAAAAAATTCTCTAAATATTAATTAATTTATCCTGTAAACAATATTATAAACTAATTAACATGAATGTGTTCGCATAATAAGAGAGAGAACACTATGAATCCGAACCTGACTCGAACCCGAATTCCTCGGTTTGTTTTGATGGAATACGTCAAAACTACATGGCGATGTCTTCCGGAAGGATTTTCTATGAGAAATGGTTTCTGTTTAGGTGTTAGACACGTCAAGAAAATTAGCAAGTGCACGTGATTAAACCCCTTTGGTCAGGAGCGAAACCACGACTATCAGTGTCGAGTGATTTCATTCACTTGGTTAGTTAGGATTTCTCGAAGCGTTAATTGAAAATAATATAGAAATTTATCTTATATCTGAGGTAGTTAACGATAAAGTTAAACAAATTCAAATCAATTTTATTATATTATTATAATAATATATTAAATTTATAATATTAATCATTAAATAGCAAGAATTCGTGAGAATTTTTACATGTACGTTGGCATGATAATTTTTCAATTTTTAATTTTGAATTTAAGTTTAATTAATTTATATAATTATTTCCAGCGTGGTTTTGATCTTATCAAAGTTTTAGCAATCTACTTATACAATTTTCATTAATTCATT